CCCCCTGCCTGACACCCCTCTGCTGGCAATGGGGCACCGTGCATGTGTACAGACCCCTCCTCCTCGGCCCCCTACAGAGGGAGTTGGGAGCAGCTGTCTGACCAGAGGGGACCAGCCACCTTCCCATCATCCAGATCTGCAGGCCCTCTCCCCTTGCCCGCCCCTTCGTTCCCCATCTGGCTAGCAGGGGGGCCCTGCTTACTGGCTGCCCCGCTGGCTGGCATAGCTGCAGCTATTAATTGCCGGGGCCTGGGTGCCAGTCTGCTTCTGCCTCCGCATCCGCCTACCTGCTCCTTTCTCCTCCCTGCAGACCCTGTCTTCCCCATAGCTGGCCAGGAACTTCCTATTCCCCTGTGGCTCCTCCCCCTCAGCCATCACGCACTCCCCCGCCCCTGCCACATCCCAGAAGGCTACACCTGGAGACCTCGGCGAGGACGTGAACTGTGCCCGATCCAGAGTCAGCTTGTTCCTTGTAGAGCCAGCGCCCGTCCGTTCGGCATCATGTGGCTTTCTGTGCCCTGTAAATCAGCCCATTTCCTTTGTGCCCTTTAAAGAAGGGCTCTTCCCAGTGGCTTCCGTCCCTCGTGCGCTTTCTTCTCTGCCGCTCCTCCCCGAATTGAGGGTTCTGCCCCGTCGTTTAAAGGCCACTGTTGCTCCTTTCCACCGTTTGAACAGCCCGCCTTGGTGTGGGGCAGGAAACTACAGCCAGACTCTGGTGGTCTCTTGTAGCAACAGCAGTTGAAAGCACAGTCAGGGTCTTACCCGCACACCTGCCTGCCCATAGGAGAGGCCCCCTCCCGCTGCATGGGCCTGTACTGTTTCCGTGCGTTGCTGCCTGTCAACAGGCCCTTCCCAGGCCTTTGTGAATAGCCCCGGATTCCCCCTCTCTCCCCCCCCCGGCCGCGTGTTTGGTTGCTTGCAGGTTAATCCAGAGGCCATCAGGAGTAGGTGGTGAGCGTGGGCCGCGTAGGGAGCTGTTATCTGAGCAGTGCCCCACTGAAATGTCATCACCTGGTCGTCTCAGAGCAGCAGCAGCACGGTCCTCACTTAAAGGGCTCACGTCTCCACCTCGGTGGCAGGGTTTCGGGCGAGATGGGTTGTGTTCCCCACTGGCCGGGCTCAGCCGTGCACCAGGTTTGGGGCCCTGCTGCATGACAGTGGGGGAGGGATTGCAAATTTTGCCTTTGCCACCTGGTGCATAACACCCTCGCTACGCCTCTATGCTAACCTGCACTCTGGGGCACCCCTCCAGAAGCCCTAGTCTCCCCAGCCAAGGCACAGAGTTGGGGTAATAGCCCCCCACCCCAGCGCAGCAGCACAGACACTGAACCTACTCAGCTCAGGGTGGAGAGCTTAGCTATCAGGCCATTGACAACCTCCAGGAACACAGCCCCCAAAGGGAATCCAAACCCCGTCTAAATCCGTCTTCCTCTAAGAGTTTTACATAGAGAGAGCTTATAAGTTCACCCCCTTTCTCACTGAAAGAGGAAGATGCATAGTGGTTGCTCCCTCCTACATATCAATTATTTACATTGGCCTTGTTAATGATCACGTGGTTTTATTATGAATAAAAGGTAGGATTGAAGTGATTGCAAGTGAAAACAGACCGATCAAAGTGAGTTTCCAAGCCAAAATAAACACAACATGCCAGCGAATCTTGATACATGAGGGCTACGTCTAGACGACATCCCTCTGTCGATGGAGGGATGTAAACGAGGCACTTTGAAAGCACAAACGAAGCGGGGATTTAAATATCTCGCGCTTCATTTGCATAATCGCGCCATGGCTCTCTTTCGAACAAGCGCCATTTCGGAAGTAAAACCGTGATCTAGACACGGTTCTTGAGATTTACAGGATCTTTCGAAAAAGCCTGCCGTCTTGGAAAGAACCATGTCTAGACCGTGGTTTTACTTTCGAAATGGCGCTTGTTCGAAAGAGCCCCATGATGCAATTATGCAAATGAAGCGCGGGATATTTAAATCCCCGCTTCATTTGCACTTTCGAAGTGCCTCATTTACATCCCTCTGTCGACAGATGGATGTCGTCTAGATGTAGCCTAAGAGAGGTAGTTACAGATGATAATTCTCACCCTGTCCTTATCTCAGATGCAATTCTTCCCAAGCCAGAGTTGATCTTTTCTCTCTGGCCTGGGTCTAGAGTTCTCTGTCTTTAGAGTTCTTTGTTTTCAGGTTTCTTCGTGTGTCTCCTCTTGAAGTGGGGAGGAAATTTCAAAAGCTCGATTGCTTTCCATTCCTTTGAATAGACTTTCCCCAGAGTGGGAACCCTTTTAGTCTCCCCATCCTCATGGAAAAATACCAGATTCAAGATGGATTCCAGTACCAGCTGGGATGGTCACATGTCTTTCTAGAACCAACCCCATTTTGGGCTTACAGGAAAACCAAAACCATTCACAGGTCGTTTACTTGATCACTGAGCCATTAAGTTCCTAAAGTATCAATAATGGCTTTTACTACTATACAATAGGTCCCCACTTAATATTTCTAACTTTACATGCGAGAAAGATACATGCACAAAAATAGAATATTCCCTCTGAGGGGACTGCAGGCTCTTGAATGGTAGGTTACATAAGATGCTTTATGCAAAATAGGTCAAGTATGTTCTTTTAATGTAGCTTGTGTGTCATTTCCTAGGTCATTAAAAACCAAATCAAACCCCAAATTCTATCACCTGACACCCGCACAGGTCATCAGCAGAGTCAGAACCTTTTTCATGAGCAATTTTTTGTGTGTGCTCCATTTGTGTTCCCCTAGCTGCAGGTTTGAGGCTGAAGAACCTGCTGGCTTATGGTTTCTGCCCAGTCATGTAAGTGTGTGTTTAATTTTGATCATGCATAATTCTCACCCCAGGATAGACACCCAGCAGAAACCAGGGGCTGGCACTGCTTTTGCAGCTATGGTCTGTGCACAAAAGCCGCGCTAATGGATTTTTCCATTACCCCTCGTTCAGGGGAGCCGCTTGATTTCCTTTTTACATTGCAAAACTGGCCACATCCATGGCTGCTCTTCTTGGAGTTTTGCCCCTCTGCTGAGACGGTCAGGAACGTGCCATTTGTATGTGGTGGCTTGGGGGATACTGACACCAGCTTACTGAGAACTGGGCCCATGGCGTTATTTCGTACCAGCCACCAGATGGATCCACGGGGCCACGTGCCGTGTGTGCGTGTGCTGCAGGATTCTGTGGTGCCCCTGGAAACTGTCCACGTGGTGACGCTCTCACACCTGCTGGTCTCTCTTCCTGGAATCAAATCCAGGGCCAGCTGCAACCTCTGAGACCTCTATTGAAACGGAAACCCCTTGTCTTTTAGCAAGCCGCAGGATGCCCAGGGGGAGCCAAAGAAGCCATCGGCCTCTCCCGTGAGCCGGAAAGCAGGGAGCTCTTCCGCCTTGGGGCTGAAGAAGTTCTTCTGCACCCTCAGTCAGAGCACCAAGCAGAAACTTGGCAGGTTCCGGTGCTACAGCATGGAGCAGCTTCCCCCCGAGGTGCCTCCATCCCCCGAAGCCAGGGCAGAGGCCACTGCCTGCTCTGATCTGAAGAAAGCCCCTTCCCTGCAGTCGCTGCGCCTGGTGAGTCCCTGGCGCGGCTCCGTACAGGGCTGTGGGTCTGGCAGTTCCGAGAGTCTTTACAACTGAGGCAGGAGCACAGGGTCCGCCGGCTTAGACTGGACAGAGCCCTGGGGATATAGCGTAGGGAACAGTCCTGTGCTGGCTGATTCCCAGCTCTGTGACCTCTCCATGCCTCAGTGTGCCCTTCTGTGAAATGGGGGTGAGGATGCTGAACCTCTTTCCTACAGACAGAATGTTGGAGAACGACACTAAATCATAATCCCAAGCTCTTATAGCAATTTTCACCACTGGGTCCCCAGAGGAGTCGGTACCACTATCATGTTACAGATGGGGAAACTGAGGCACAGAGGGGGACAATTACCCAGCAGGTCAGTGGTGGAGCCAGGAACAGGACCCATGTGTCCACAGTCCGAGTCTGATGCTCTAGCCACTAGGTCACACTGCAGAGATGCCCCCTCCCTGTCCTGCCAGGCCCCCTGCTCCACTGTTATGCGTGCAGACTGTGCAGTGAAGCGTCCTAGGAAAGCGGTGTTACAGGCATCACGGGAGGGAAGGGAAACGCTGGGAAAGTGACCGAGCAAGGTAGCCGGAAGAGGCTAGAAGAGTGCAGTAGGGGTGGGGAATGGACAACCGAGAGCGTCTGTCTGTCTGTCTGATCGACACAGCTTGAGTGATGTTGACAGTCGCACTTTCTGCATGGTCCTGCCTGATGGGCCTTTCCAGGGTCAGACCTAGGCACGCCCAGGAGGGCACTGGCGCCGGGAGGCTGGTCTACAACCAAATCTGTCTGCAGCCTTTCGCTGTATGGAGCTGAGAGAGTGATCTGCAAATGAGGTTTCTTTGGGACTGCAGTTGCCCAAAGCCCCTCCGTTCCCAAGGGGCCCTGTGCAATGTTGCTCCTCACCAGCACTGGGCAGTCCAGGACACTCTTGCTGAGGGAATTTTAGGAAAGAAAGGCCCGTCGGATGCCTTCGGGGCACCCAGTTCCCAAGCTGACCAGGCCGGCGTGTGAGTACTCCCCTGGGGTGACAAAAGCTCAAGAAGGAACCTTGAGAGGTCACCTAATCCAGCCCCATACCCTGTAACAGGACCAAATAACCTAGACCCATCCCGAGAGGGGTTTGTCCAGCCTGCTCTTAAAAACTTCCAACGGGAGATTCCACGACCTCCCTTAGAAGCCTGTTCCAGAGCTGAGCTCCCCTTAGTGCTAGAAAGGTTTTCCTAATGTGTAACCTAAGTCTGCTGAGGAAGCCCATTACGTCTGTTCCTACCTTCGGTGGACATGGAGAACCACTGATCTGTGTCCTCTGCAGAACAGCCCTTAACATATTGGAAGACTCTTAGCAGGTCCCCTCTCTTTTCTGAGGGCTAAATGTGCCCAGCTTTTTAACCGCTCCTCATAGCGCAGGGTTTCTAAACCTTTCACTGGTTTTGTTGCGCCCCTCTGGACTCTGCCCCGTTTGTCCCCATCCTTCCTGAAGGGTGGTGCCCAGAACTGAGGCCCCACCAGCGCCAAGCAGAGCATGGCAAGTACCTCCTGGTTCTTCTGTCCGACACGCCTGTCCGCACGTTTCTGTGAATCCGGCGATGCCGGGGAGATGGAAGAAACGGAGGTTGTTTTTCTTCCTCGGTTGATTTTTATGGCTTTTGGAGAGTTGCAGAGGGAGGAGGAGGATTTGAGGTTTCAAGTGCCGGGAGCTCACAGGTTGCCTGGCCGGTTTGCTTGGATTCTCTCCCAGAACGACTTTTGACTCAGTACCCTTGTTCTCCCACCAGGTGTCACCCTTCTGCCAACTGAGAAAAGCCTCTTCTGTACAGAACCTGCACTCTCTCCTGGGCAAGGCGGACCGGTCCGGTTCTTACCTGGTGGGCGAGCCAGGGGACAGCCAAGCAGCTGACCGGTAGGGATGCAGGAAGGCCGGGGGCTGCTAGTCCGTGCTGAGAGCTGGTGCTGATTGCTGAGGGGTCTGTGTGCAAGGGGCTGCACAAAGCAGAAAGCGAGAGCTGGTCCTTGCACACTCAGCAGCTCTGTTGCAAACCAGTACGGCTGTGGTTTGGGGCAGCGAAGAGGGATTCCTGGTGCCTGAGGCAGCTTGGAAGAAGGTGCCAGGGTAAGAAAGAAGGGTGATAACAGGAGTGCTGGGGGGAGTCTATTGGCTGGTCCCAATCACATACCTGGGTCGAGGTTCCAAATAAATGTCCCAGTCACACAAGAGGGCTCATCTCTCTCCGTCCTGGGGAAGGCGCACAAGGGGCCTAGACACCCGTTAGCAGATTGGCGGGCGAGAGGATGAGCAGGGGGAATACGGGGGGAGATGCAAAGGGGGCAGAACTGTGCAGGGCCTCGGGGGACAGGCAGGGGAAGCCAGAAAAGGGAGCTGATACTCTGAGCAGAGGAGAGAAAGATGCAGCCATTAAATGCCACAGAAATTACTTTGCCAGCACTGTGCAGCCACCTCTGGGGGAGCTACCCCTGAGGAGCCAACTCCAGAGAGGCCTTGCAGACCTCATGCCTGGTTTGCTAAAACCTCCCCCGTGTGCAGCGGAGAGCGGCAGATGCAGAACTCTGATTCGGATGCAGCTGCCTGTTAGCATGAGCACTGATTGGCGTGGGTGGGGGGCTGTAATGAGGAGAGAGGGGATGAAATGAATAAAGGGAAATCCAGGTGATTATAGGGGGAAACTTTCTCAGTATGTGACCCAACAGCCTGTGGGGAAGCGAAGGGAGCCCCATTCATGGAGTAATTAGAAACGAGACTGAACGAAGTCCTGGAGATGGAGGTGGGTGGGGGAGACCACCCCACCTGGGCTCTCGAGGAATGAGCTGGAGAGTCTAGCACTCTGGGTCTCTTCCGAACTCCCTCGGCAAGATCAGGGTCTCCTCTGCCTTGAAATAAGAGAGCGAAGGGGGAGTCCTTACTAGGTACTAACAAGTCAAGCACTTGCCTCAGGCTCCTCTGAGTGCAAGCTGGACTTGAACCTGTGGCCCTGAGGTGAAGGATCTGTCTGAAGCACTAGGCCTCACCCCTTTACTCCCATGTAGCTGATGTGTTACAGGCCCTTGTTCCCCGGGAGGAGGGTTCTCTGCTCCACACGGCCGTAATGTTCCCCCTCTGGCTCATTCCCTTCTCCCTCCAGGAAAGTGGGGGCCCCGCCCCGGCGTTCCCTCAGCGTGGAGGACATTGGGGCCCCCGACTTGGTGCGAACAGTTGGACGGGTGGTAGAAGTCTTCCCGGATGGAACCAGCCAGCTGGAGCTGCAGCGCCCCCCACAGGGCACTTTCGGGTTCCGTGTCTCCTCTGGGAACGGTCGCCCCGACACAGGTACCTGCTGTGAATAGTCTTGTGTGGGGCTTTGTAGCCGCACCGTCGAGTAGCTTTTGTTGCAGCTTCTTGAGACCCCCCAAATGTACCCTCTGCACTTGATTAGTGCTGCTAGTCCCTGCCCGCCTGGCTTGTCTCCCGTTTGGGCCAATCCCTTGTTTGGGCTGAGTCACAGCCCTGAGACTGGCGTGTGTCATTCACACCTGCTGGAAGGGAGCTGGACTTTTCCTCTGGCGTGTTGTACACAGGCGCCTGTGTGTGTCACTCAGCCTGGGCTGGGAGTGACTGACATTCCTGGGGCAGGGAGCGTGACCCCCACAGCTTTTATGGGACGAGAGGTGGAGGGAAGCCAGTCAGTCATCTAAAAACTCAGGGTTGCTGCCCACGGCTGGGGGGAACCTGGACAATGATGGCAGGTGACCTGCGGGCAGCCGGTTTGGGGCAGGAGCAGATTCCACTGAGTAGCAGCACCTGCTTTTGGTTTCCATGAGCATCGCCCTTGGGACATGGCAGCCGAGGGTGGTACAGGTGCCCACGCATCCCCAGGGGGCTCTGGAGTGCCAGGCAGTAGCTGGCTGGGACCTCCACCGGCTTCAGGCTAGCCCTTTGCTCTCGGAGTCCCCCGGGAAACAGGGAAGAGTCCCCGGAAGTGGATAAGACTCAGGGCCGGGTTGAGTCCACAGACTGCCAGGTTCTTCCCACCCAGTGCAGTGCAGCTGACCCGTGGCTGCGGGTTTCTTCTAGCAGCAGGTGTGTTCCAGGGAGGCTGGGGTTTCACTTAGCCAGCCTTGACTTTGGACACTGTGTTTCACTGAAGATGTGTAGGGAGCTCCCTGCCCTGCTAGCTCGGCGGGCCCGACGCCGGGGTTTATCCCCACAGCGGGTCCAGTGAGACGTCCGGCCGGGCAGGGCCGCCATTTCAGATGTTGGGGTGTGTGGGGGGGGGGGGGGGGGGAGAGTGACCTGTACATGCGTGATTGGGTGGGGGGATGAGGGCATGGGGGAGGCAGACTGAGGATGGCCGCCTCAGCAGTGTTACTGAGTATGTGCAGTACAAGCCAAACAAATCAGGAAGCAGGTATGGACCCCATCAGCCCTCCCACACACACAGGAGCTACTAAGGCACTTGAAAACCGTAGTTTTTTGGCCAGTAACTTAGCAATTAGTGGACAGGAGCACTGTGTCTAATTCCTATAGTCAATACAATTAAATAAACATTAGACCCAGTTCTAACGCTGAAATATTCTGATGTGGGAAGTCACTTAAGGGACTCCTGGTGTGTCTCAGCTCTGGAAGGGGAGCGGAGTGTAATGGGCTATAGCAGGGGGCAGATACATTTGGGTTCTATATACGAACATCAGAACGGCCAGACTGGGTCAGACCAAAGGTCCATCCAGTCCAGTGTCCTGTCTGCAGACTGTGGCCAATGCCAGGTGTTTCAGAAGGCATGACCATAAGAGGCCATCATTGCCTGTCGCCCATTCCCAGCTTCTGGCAAACAGGCTAGGGACACCATCCCTGCCCATCCTGGCTAGTAGCCATTGATGGCCCTACCCTCCTTGAACTTATTTTGTTCTAATTGGAACCTTCTTGCAGTTTGGGCCTTTCCACCATCCCCAGGCAAAGAGTTCCACAGGTTGACTGAAGAAACAATTTCTATTTGTTTTAAATGTGGTGCCTGTCATTGTCACTGGGTCAGTTTCCTGTGCTATGTTAGTGAAGGAGTAGATAACATTTCCTGATTCTGTTTTTCCACACTCGTGATTTTCTGGACCTATAACATATCCCCCGCTCTTCGGTCATTTCTTTTCCAAGCTGAAGAGTCCCAGTCTTGTTAATCTCTCCTTATATGGAAGCTGTTTCTTAGCCCCTAATTATTCCCGTTCCTTTTCCAAATCCAATATATCTTTTTTTTTAGATGGGTTGACCAGATCTGCATGCAGTATTCAAGATATGGGCATGCCATGACTTTGAGGAGGCAATATGATATTTTCTGTCTTATCTGTTCCTTCCCGAAAGATTCCCAATAGTCCATTAGCTTTTTAGATTGAGATGTTTTCGGGGAACTGTCCACAGTGATTCCAAGATCTGTTGTGGAGTGGGAACAGCTATTTTAGACCCCATCACTTTGTACGTATAGGTGGGATATTTTCCCATGTGCACCACTTCACGTTTATCGCCACTGAATTCCATCTGCCCTCGTGTATCAGAGGGGCAGCCGTGTTAGTCTGAATCTGCAAAAGCGGCGAGGAGTCCTGTGGCACCTTATAGACTAACCGAAGTGTTGGAGCATAAGCTTTGGTGGGCAAAGCTTTGTCTGCCCTTGTGTTGCCCAATCTGCCAGTTTTGTGAGATCCCCTGGTAACTCTTTGCAGTCAGCTTTGGAGAGAACGGTTTTGAGTAACGTTCTATCGTCTGCAAATTTTGCCACCTTACCATTTACCCCTTCTTCAAGTTGAGTGGCCGTGGTCCCAGTGCAGGCCCCGGGAGTATGCCGCTATTTTTTTCCTACTCCCCCCCCCACACCCCTTTTT